TCCTGTATTTGATTGTGTTTATTTGCAGTTAGTTACACGAATTCAGATATGAGATAAAATCGGATAGGGATGAACGGGTTTAAGAGTTTTTAAGAGTTTAAGAGTTTAAGAGTTTTAAGAGTTTAAGAGTTTAAGAGTTTTTAAGAGTTTTTAAGAGTTTTAGTCAAATGCTTTATAATATAGTATAGATATTATAAAAACTCTTAAAAACCATTTTTTTTTATAAAGTATTGTTTATTGATGCATATTACTTAAGTACAATTTATTAAAGCTTACTAAAGTTTCATGTTTGAATTTGTGTAACCAACTGCAGATAAACATAATCAAATAAAGGATAAATATCTTATTTTAAATATAAAAAATATAAAATATAATTAAGATAATCATTAATTTCTAAAACAAATTAATTATCATCTTAAAAATATTGTTTTTTTAAATCAAACATAAATTAGTTTGTTATTAAACTTCAATTAAATTATAATAAAAATTGCATTCAAGAAATTACACTAAAAGGAGAACTTTTAAGTAGTTAATTTAATGATAATATTTATTGTGTTTTTTTTATTTATAATATCTTTAAATTTATATTTCATTTAAAAATAAAAACATTTTTTTTTCCAAAACCACATAAAATCGCATTATAACATCAATCGACACAACATATAAAGTAAAACATTAAAATCAAAATGTATCTCGCTGCATTACGCGAGTACCCTTATAGTATTATAAAGCATTTGACAAAAACTCTTAAAAAACAATTTTTTTTATGCATAAAGTGCTATTTATTGATGCATATTACTTAAATTCAATATTACAAGTAAATTATGCATAAATACAACTTACTAAAGCTTCATGTTTGAATTCGTGTAACTAATTGCAGATAAACATAATCAAATAAATGACAAACATCTCATTTTAAATATAAAAAATCTACAATATAATTAGGATAATCATTGAATACTAACAAAATTCTTAATTTATTATCTTTATATTATTAAACCAAAAAAATTGAATTAAAAAATATACAGAAAATAAGAAATTTTAAATAGTTATTTGGTATTAGTACCAATATTATTTTTTCAAATTTTATGATATCTTCATATTTATATTTTATTAAAAAATAAAAACATTATCGCTTTCTCAAAACCACGTAAAACCGTATTATAACATCGACTGAGACAAAAATAAATAAAACGAAATATTAAAATTGAGATGTATGTTGCTACATTGTGCAAGTACTCTTCTAATCTTTAACAACAAACCAACCCAATCTTTATTAAAAAAACTAGAAGTGTACTCGCGCAATGCAGCGAGATACATCGTGATTTTAATATTTCATTTTATTATTTATCTCAGCTGATTTTATAATATGGCTTTATGTGATTTTGAGAAAACGATGATGTTTTTATTTTTGAATAAAATATATGTTTGAATATATCATAAAAATTTGACAAAAATATATCGATATTAGTATCAAATTAACTATTTGAAA